TTCTCCAACAAACCACAACTCATAAACGGCAAAAATATATTGGCAAACGAATTTTTACGATCACTTTTATTGGATCGCTTTGTAGGTTAAAAAATGATATATTCTAGTGACCCTATTACTGAAAGGTCAAAGTTCAAGGGTTGTGATCCTATATAGGGAGAGACTCTTCAGACAACCTGTTACTTAATATTCAAAACCACCTGTTACCTGATGGGTGTTTCTGAGTAGCTGTTACACTGTAAAATATTAGTTTAAAATGCATAATTAATGCACCCCCTTGTGAATTACTCAGTCCATTCGAGTTATCATGACAAACACACACAGAAGTTAAAGCAGGGAAAGTGAACTTGATAAACCCACATAATGCGCGGTATAACCCAAACTAATTTCATCCACACTGATTGTCACACACACACTTAACAGATTTACAGAATGATGAAGTAATGCACCTGATTGGCAACTCCCTGAAGAGTCCTACCAGCTCCCTACAATCAACCGGAAACAAGCGCAATCAGAGTGACATGAAGGTGAAATAAACATGAGAGCATCTGTAACTTTTCCTCTACAGTTGTGATCCTGAAGCCTTATTTCGGTACACAAGAAAGCAACTTAACCGGTACTGCACTCGACCGGTTTCACTCCCCAAAGTGTAGAGTTAGGTACCCAATCAGAACTACAGGGGGAATTCGATGTACCGTGGGTGCGAACGAGGGACCCTTAGGACAGGAAGCGAGCGTTGTATCCACATGACCGCCGTATCCAGATGTATGAATGAGAATTAAGTTGTATACTGAGCTGTTCTGTCTTATTCGGGATGAAGGACTGGGATCATTATGGTGAAAAAAGTCTTCCTGCTTATTCCTCTTTACCTTCCCTCTTAACTCCTATTCTTCATTCCTATTTCATTCTAGATCTTCCTTGGCCCTTACCTATCTTATTCACTCATCCCCCTACACTAATCACGGGTATGATTGTGTAAAGAAAATAATACAAATATAAATAAATCGGCAAGAAAATCCAACCAAGAAGGAAATTAAAAAAATCTTTCGAAATCTGTCAATGGATTTTTCTCTTTTATAGTATTTCAGTGTTAATGAAGAGTAAAATTCCTGTCTAAGAATTAAATTTCACGAATTATATAAAAGATGTGAAATTAAAAGCTCATCAACTTAATCTCCATCTCTGTGGCCCTGAGGTATTAATTCAGTAAGATTAAAGATTTTATTATATATTTTCTGAGATTTTTTTTCCTTTCAGTCCAAAAAAGTTTAATTATTTCTTTTATTCACTGAGAATTTATTTCGGTCAAAAAATAAGAATGAAAAATAAGCAAAATAAAGTAAGAATGAGAAAAACAGAATAAAGTAAGAATGAAAAAGAAACAGAATAAAGTAAGAATAAAAGAGAAGTAATAAAATAAAGTAAGAATGAGAAAAACAGAATAAGACTGAAAGATAAGCAAAATAAAGAAAGAATGATAGAATGGCAGAATACAATAACAATACAACAAGACAACTGTGCCAACTTACTGTATGACTCACAGAGGCTCTTCACACCGCTCGTGGGATGCTAATGAACTGCAGACACACTTAAAGACACCTCTGAGTTGTGTCAAGGAGATGAACACTTGACCTTTCTACTGGTCCGGTCCTTCTTGTTGACACACGTCGGTCGTAAGGGTACCATAGGTCGAGCAGAGAACACACTTTACAAACGCACTTATAATATTTTTTTTAGACTCCTATAGTGTGAAATGGTGTGTTTTTATTATGTATATTTACTGTTTACATCTACAAAATGTGCCACAATAATGTACACTGTTCTTACGTAAGATTTATGCAATTGCAACAGTTTTCAAATCCCTGTATCGAGTACGTGCGCTTTCTGGCTGTACTCGAACCAACGCTGTTTGCTTCCATTAATAAAATGAATGTATTACCGACGCCAATATGCAAGCAGAGGCACAATTATGGTAATATCCATATATTTCTTTACGGAATCAGGCGATCAAGGGACGCTGTTGCTGTGCGTCAGAATGGCTTTTATGGGTAATGAAACATAACGGTGCGTGTGACTTAGCCTTGAAAACACATGTGTTGCCGCACTTATAATGATTATTACCAAGTTACATCACCAGCCACGCTCATAAAGATGTTGGAGAGGTTTATAGTAGATGACATATGTATTCGTATATAATTTCCATGACGTTATGATGTGGGTGTCTGATCACGTGACTGTAGCTGTCAAACATTGTCATATATGAATGGTAGTTGATTGTTGAGTTCTGTTGTTTTACTTAATGTTCAATATATCTCTGTGACTAATGCACCAATTACACAACACACAATGATGCCCTTTCTAAATAATTCAATAATATGAATTTATGTGTGTGTGTGTGTGTGTGTGTACGTGCGTTTGAATCCGTGTGCTCACATACTGTACATATATATGTATGTAATCTATCCGTACATGATGCAAATGAAGTATCGTCCGGGCCATAATTTAACCCACTATTTGCTCTATGTAATATATATCCCGTCGTTACCAGGTCCTGGGAGAGCAATACGCCAGGAACATATAATTCTGAGTAATATCTGTCACAAGACCCCACAGTTAACTCTGTCGCTACACATCTGCCTCAAGCTGCTAACATTGTTATTAAGGCTGAGGTATTGACGCTCTTATCCTCTTTCAACAACAATATATATAATCAACCTTCCACACGTCACGTTTACATATGGATTTCCCTGAGTTATCGACTTAATCTCAATGCATTTTAGGTAATGTAAGCTCCCTCATCTTCCTACAAACTTAAAAAGAAACACAATTTGATAACCAAAGGGATTATACTGCTCCAGATATTTAATGAGGAGACTGTAAATGACACGAAATATGTCGCACAAATCCTATCCGTCCGTCGTGGAGTGGGAGGGCGAAAACGACCTCAGGGGAAGATGGTCAGAGAGACGAGATTAGCGGAGACATCGTCAGCCCCCGGTCATTTGTCGGGAGGGTAGCAGCTTGAAATTAATTGCCCGCATAAACCCCTGGGCCCAGCCACTCAGCTGATACTGGTGCTGGTCCCCTTATTTGCGGGAACAAGAGGCTCAGCTGTGTACTGTACAGGAGGTGACGAATGATACACTCTGTAGGGTGAAGTGATGCAATATACAAACCTCTTAATAATAATAATAATAATAATAATAATAATAATAATAATAGAGCGGTTTATACACACACATTTCTCAGAACTATAAGGAAAATACAGTAAACACCAGCTATACACAATGTTTCTTAATCGTAAACACAACCATTGAAAGACACTGTTTACGTCTGACTGTAGAAATAGAGTTATTTATCTTGTAATTATTGACGGACCGGTGTAATTACCAACCTTGCTGCGCGCTTCATGACCTTATAGTTAATGAAGCGAAGTAACGCATTAGTACGTCTCTCAATTGACTATAGACTCCCAGCAAGAACAAGATTGACTAATATAGACACCAATTATCACCATATTAGTAATTACTTTAATCAACAATAAGAAAAACCAGAGATAATACCAAATGTAAAATTAACTCAAAGAGTATAAGAATTTAATAGCGAATTCCAGTAAGTCAGTGAATAATCTTCCTTCATTTGTATAGACGAAGTAAAACTGAAGTAATGAATAACTAGACACACAGTTTCATGCTTATTGGAGTGCTATATAGGCGATACACAACGGGTGAAATCAATATAGTCGTTTAGTTAAAAAAAAATATATATATATGTGTCAGTGGGTGTACCTGTGTGTCAGTGGGTGTACCTGTGTGTGTCAGTGGGTGTACCTGTGTGTCAGTGGGTGTACCTGTGTGTCAGTGGGTGTACTTGTTTGTCAGTGGGTGTACCTGTGTGTCAGTGGGTGTACCTGTGTGTGTCAGTGGGTGTACTTGTTTGTCAGTGGGTGTACCTGTGTGTCAGTGGGTGTACCTGTGTTGCACGTGCGGGAGGGGCGGCGGCAGCGCCTTTCCGACGCTGGTGCTTGTCTGCCTCGGTAGGCAGTCGGGCTAACTGGAAAGTATTGACACCTTCTCGTGTGGTGTTCCTGATAAAGCGTTGATAACAGCATGATGTTACCAACAACAGTTGAAACCAAATACATGGTTATTCCACCGAACAATTCCAAGTCAATAACATAACATTTGCCATGCCTGACAGCTCCTCTCTCAGCTGTGTGAAAAACTCCGCTTGACTAAATCACATTATGACGAGTAACAAAAATTATAATGATGAATAAGTAAGCAGTTCCGACAATTTAGCGCAAGAGATAATTCTCCTGTTTGAAAACTGTCTTTCTACAACGTTAAAATAAAAGAACAATTCTAAGTAGCTGGTGTACCTTGATCAGGGTTTCCACACAAATCAGAATTTAATTTTCTGTGGCTTTTCCATGACCAGCTCATTTAAAAGGCGTATATGTGAACTCGCTATTGCAGCCCAAACTGTCACGTCTAAATTAAAGTTTATAGTCACGGTAATACTCTTTAGTTTTCTCTCCCTTATAATCGCTCCAGTATGAGGACGTTTATAACACTTGGGGATACAACCGAACACAATGCCCCTTACCTGTAGTTACATATTGTATACCTGTGTCCAATATGGGATACAGGTAGACTTTTTTTAGATATTGTACTGTACAAAGAAATAAATATTACGACCTTCTAGTGAAATAATTCCTTTAAAAAAGGCATTAAAAACTTCCCTTGGATGTTAATGATATAAAAAAATTTAAAACATACAATATTTACACCATGGTCAGATATATTGGTAACACTGTTCTACTTAATAAAACCTTGGCAACAGTTATTATCTTGATGTTTTGAGGGACTATGAATATATATGAGACTTAAGGTGAACAAATGAAGGTATTGACGAGTTTAACTGTTCATACTCAAGTTATTAAGTGAACACATACCTCAACCATCCGTCATGTAAACATTAAACAATAAATAGTTTACCTTGTATGTGTGTTAGGCGGAGATGGTAATATTCTCAGTGCATCACCAATTCTTCACTTTGTCTTCCACCATTAAACTTTCTTACTGTTTTTCTTCACTTTGTCTTCCACCATTAAACTTTTTTACTATTTCTTCACTTTGTCTTCCACCATTAAACTTTCTTAATATTTCTTCACTTTGTCTTCCACCATTAAACTTTTTTACTATTTCTTCACTTTGTCTTCCACTATTACACTTTTTTTACTATTTCTTCACTTTGTCTTCCACCATTAAACTTTCTTAATATTTCTTCACTTTGTCTTCCACCATTACACTTTTTTACTATTTCTTCACTTTGTCTTCCACTATTACACTTTTTTACTATTTCTTCACTTTGTCTTCCACTATTACACCTTTTTACTATTTCTTCACTTTGTCTTCTTTGCATCTTGAGGTGAAGTGACATAAAAATACTACTCATCTGTGCTGACTACAACACAACACAGACACTAGGACCTACCCTGTAAACATGTGTGTTAGTAGAACTGTTCCCTAAAGCTGAACATTTAACAAGCCTCGGTGTGTCTCACTACCTGAAGTTGGCACCGTTATAAGTTTCCAGCACTGGCGGGGCAGGTGTTAGTACACTACAGTATGGCAGGCAGAGAACATCTAGTATCCTCCCCTGACACACCAAGGCTCACGGGTCAACAAATCACAAATATGTGGTTTATGGACCTGCAATGACATATACATATAAATTCAAATTTAATAAGTGTCAATCTAAACACTTAATTACTTTTAATTTTGGATGTGCAACTGCAACACCCTGCAAGGTTACGTTAATCAGTGAAACTTCTAAACCGGTAAACTTGCACTTAACTTAACCCTTACTCGGTGCCTCGTGGATATTTTTGCTGCTTATTGAGTCTTGACTGGTAATGGCATCTCATCCTGTAAAACAAAACAATATTTGATACAGTTTTATCTGTGTTCATTAAAGGGCTGTTTTACGAATCAAATATATGTACTGTACCTAAGACATTCCATGTGATTCACTTGGTATAAACTTAAGTGCTAAACTGATTTTCCTGTCAAAGTTTCAATTCCTTCTAATGCCAGTAAATGAAAAGTAGTTTTATTCTTATTTTGAATGGGAATGTAAAACTAGACGTACAATTTTGAGAGAAATAGATAGATAAACAAGAGATAAACAAGAGAAAGAGAAATACAGAGATAGTTAAAAGTTAAGGGATGCAGACAAAAGAAAATCCAGAAAGATCGCACACACACACACACACACACGTACTCACGCATAACACCAACGACTAATATCGATTTTCCAAGGCAGACAGACAGAACAGCAACAGTACTTTTCTTCGGTGTGACTAAATTACAATAAAACAAAGAAAAAGACAAAATAAAATATACCAATTTAATGAAGACGGACGTGTCACTGTTTTTGCCGTAAGACGCCAGAGGAGGAAAGTTACGGAGTTACTATAATCTTACTTTACTTCATTTTTAATAGAGCGAAAAATACATAAACCGATGTCTCTAACACACCAAATCACTTACGGTCGGACGTTCAGCAGTTATCTTACATTCCAGCGGAAACCAATTTCCTGAGAGAACACTGGATCCCTCTTATCTCCTGCAGTTATCAGCGTTTATGAACAGGAAGTAGACCGGTTCTGCACGAGTCGACATCAAGACGTTCTAATTATTTGCATAAAGGAACAGGATAACATCAGAGTGTGAAGGACCCACAGCCTTGACGATATAACAGGCATTAGGCTACCCAAGGTCCTGAGTTCCCCTATTATAGAAACACTCGTATATATATATATGTTATATGACGTAGTGCACCGGATGTGTTAAATAGCTGGTCCTCATTCACTGGTGTGCCGTGGAGGTAACCCGTGTGGTTACGGCCCAACCACGACACCAGTTAATAAGGTGTGGAAATGATGCGTTTGTTTGGTGGTAGTAGTGGTAGTAACCTGTCCAACCCGTTTATTTGGCATGAAAACCCATTAGCGAACACCTCCCATCCAACCTCTTCCTCACCCCCCTCCTCCTCGTTCAATTAATCATCTGAAAAGGCTACAATATTTATGCATTTTAAGTATTTTTTTTTTGTCCACGAGTCTTCTCTCTTTCCTTCCTAACGCAGCTCCTGTACACAAAACAACAGAGAAATGAGTGTCAACATACCCCGGGCCCGCGAGTATTAGGGAGGTAAACACGGCTCCCTCTAGCCCTGTGTTTTGGTTAGGTCGGGAGTGGGGTGTGGTACATCCTACGGTAGTTTAAGTCGTTTACCAGGACACAGAGGTTATTTTAGGTCACTACAGGTATGAGGGCTTTAGTTATACTGTATCACTCTATTTCAATGCCTAAAGTCCTAAACTATGGAACACAATATCAGCTTCTACACAGGACACCAACATTGAAAAACTAGGAAGGCTATTCTTTCTTTAATGGAAAATACAGGTAAACACGAACGACTACTGTATAACAAACTAGTTACAGGGAAAAGTATGACTCCTTGTTGTGTGTGTGTGTGTGTGTGTGTGTGCCATTCACTTTTCAATAACATATTCTTCTTCACCACTAGGAGAACAATACCCGAGAACATATTGCCGGTGCTTGTAACTAACACACACACACACACACACACACACACACACACACACACACACACACACACACACACACACACACACCTTATATAACTCCCAACTAGACACAAACTACACCAGTGAGAAAGATGCGGGCTAGACACCTTACTGCAGTCTTACACACAGTTATGTTTGCTTCTTTCTGTTCTTCAAGAGTGAACAGAGAACAGATTTTCTTCCTTTCTTCTATTACTAAAAATTACTCTTGTATGGATCAATTGTCTTTATATTAATGAGGTAGTTAGATCTTTGTTATGTTTTTATTTTATATTTTATTTGTATCTTTTTTGACGATCTGATTTTCCATTTATTTATATTCCTATTTTTCTTTAAAGTAAATCGGACGAAAAAAAGTTTGTGTCGAAATATCAACAAAAGCCAATTTGTTTATATTACAGACATGTGGGTAAATCAAGTGGAAAGTGCCCTGAGTATCATGTATCCCAAGAACCATGTATCCTAACCACCAGGTATCCCGAGAACCATGTATCCTAACCATCATGTATCCCGAGAATCATGTATCCTAACCATCAGGTATCCCGAGAACCATGTATCCTAACCACCATGTATCCCGAGAACCATGTATCCTAACCACCAGGTATCCCGAGAACCATATATCCTAACCACCATGTATCCTAACCACCATGTATCCGAACCACCATGCATCCTAACCACCATGCATCCTAACCACCATGTATCCGAACCACCATGCATCCTAACCACCATGCATCCTAACCACCATGTATCCGAACCACCATGCATCCTAACCACCATGCATCCTAACCACCATGTATCCTAACCACCATGCATCCTAACCACCATGTATCCTAACCACCATGCATCCTAACAACCATGCATCCTAACAACCATGCATCCTAACAACCATGCATCCTAACCACCATGTATCCTAACCACCATGTATCCTAACCACCATGCATCCTAACCACCATGTATCCTAACAACCATGCATCCTAACAACCATGCATCCTAACCACCATGTATCCTAACCACCATGTATCCTAACCACCATGTATCCTAGCCATGTATCCCAACCATGTATCCTGACCATGTATCTTGTATACAGTGTTCCCCGTGCAGCCCGTCTGGTAAGCTCTGCCTCAGTATACTGTGTAAGACAGGCTCAGTCGACCGTGTTTGCTTACTACCGTCACCATTTACCGGGACAGGTGTGACAGGTCTACACTGTAACGGTGTTTATGGGATTACAAACAAAACTATCGTCCTATTATCAAACTATCGTCTTATTATTAAGCTATCGTATCAACTTTAACCCCCTGACACACACACACACACACACACACACACACACACACACACACTTACGGTGCCAATTTTGATCCCCTGATATAACACTTCAAGCATTTCTCTTCTCCTCCCTCTTTTCGCTCTACTTATTTCCTTTCTCTCCCTCCTTCTATACGCTGTGTTTTCCTTTCGCTCATACCTAAAGTACTCTCTCTCTCTCTCTCTCTCTCTCTATTCCACCACCTCTCCCCTTTTTTCTTTTATCCTCTACCACTCTCACATTGATTCATCTCCCCTACCAATTCTCCATCTATTTCTCCTTTCACCTACCTTCTCTCTCCCTTTCCTCATGCTCTTTCTTTCTCATACTCTTCTTCCCCACGTTGGTAACTCTCTTTTCCCTCGCCCATTTCTTTCTCGCTTCCACTATCTCCTTCTTCCTATTCTCTTTTATTTCCACTTTAAAATAACTTCGTATCTTTACTACTACTACTACTACTACACACTCTCTCTCTCTCTCTCTCTCTCTCTCTCTCTCTCAAGTGCTGTGGGTCTGGCTTGAGTATGGGTGTTTGCTCAGGGCAGCACTTGTAGGTGATGACTGTGTGTGTGTGTGTGTGTGTGTGTGTGTGTGTGTGTGCTACTATTTAATAATAAAGTGATATGTGTGCTGTACCTACATGATCATCTCAGTCGTATACTAACTCTACTAACTACTAACACTACTAACTACTAACACTATTAAGACTACGACTAACACTATTTAATGTAAACAAACTAACACCCCTTGTAAACGACCCCACAGTCATTCTTGTTTAACATTAACTAACATGACCACCTCCTGACCTCACTGACTCACCTACTCTGTACAGTCGGGGTCAAAAGTTCACCCCCGCCCAAAAACGAAGTAGCGTCGACCCACCAAATGAGATGAAACAGTCAGGGTAAGTCAGTTCGGAGACTCATTCCCGTGACTCAGTTTCATTCACCACAGGGAGCGAATTTTGGTCCCTCACTGTTCATCTCTCTTGGTCTCCTCGCTCTTGGTCTCCTCATACACACCCTCTTATACACGCCCTCGTCGTCATATACACCCTCTCATACATACCCTCGCATACACACCCTCGTTCCTTGTCAGACTATACACCCCAGATATCACATTGATGATAATAACGAATTTAAGTCCACAGTCTTCAGGGTTCAGAGCGGCAACTCCCATTACATTATGAAAGTCTGATCACCGTCGATGAAAGTTTGATCGACTATTAGTGTAAATAAGAAGGGTGTAACTGGCTGCCTAGATGGGCGGAGTCCTCAACCCACAACATTACACGGTCCAGAACTGACAATTGTACGTCAATTTATTGGATCGACAGAGCTAGAGGTATCTCATAATTCCTCCACTTTGTGTGTGTGTGTGTGTGTGTGTGTGTGTGTGTGTGTGTGAAGATGAGTCCTACAGCTTATTTTATTTGATGATTATACACCCTGGCACTACCAAGGGAGAGGGGGGAGGCTTAGGTTAGGTTAGGTTAGGTTAGCGTTAGGGATGTTAATCTTAAGATGAAATAAGCTGAGGGCTTATCTTCACAGTATTCCCCTAAAAGTTATATATTTTGTTTAAACAAGATGATGGAAGTTTATAGTATGAGAAACATAGACCTCGTTGTCGAAGAAGCACCAACAAAACCCAACAACTCCCAACAACATCGACATCACCTATAACTTCAACACCAACATCACCACTAACAACACCAACAACAATGCCACCACCAGCACCACCAACAGCACCACGATAATCACCACCAACAACAACACCACCACCACCACCACCACCGGCTGCAGTAAAGACAACAACACCCAGAAGAATTTCCTTTGTTCACAAGTTTTCGCCACACTTGAAAAATTGGTCTGTGGTGGGCAGTATCCCAGCGGCCACCCTCGCGGTATTTAGTTTCCCCGCAGAGTAAATACTCCAGAAACACTCCCTAATACCCGTGGGGG